ATCAACGGTTCAGGCTGGTGGTGGTGGTGTCATGGTGTGGGGAATATTTTCTTGGCACTCTTTGGGCCCCTTGGTACCAATTGAGCATCGTTGCAACGCCACAGCCTACCTGAGTATTGTTGCTGACCATGTCCATCCCTTTATGACCACAATGTACCCAACTTCTGATGGCTACTTTCAGCAGGATAATGCGCCATGTCATAAAGCTGGAATCATCTCAGACTGGGTTCTTGAACATGACATTGAGTTCACTGTACTCAAATGGCCTCCACAGTCACCAGATCTCAATCCAATAAAGCATCTTTGGGATGTGGTGGAACGGGAGATTCACATCATGGATGTGCAGCCAACAAATCTGCGGCAACTGTGTGATGCCATCATGTCAATATGGACCAAACTCCCTGAGGAATGCTTCCAGCACCTTGTTGAATCTATGCCATGAAGAATTGAGGCAGTTCTGAAGGCAAAAGGGGGTCCAACCCGTTACTAGCATGGGGTACCTAATAAAGTGGCCGGTGAGTGTAGGTTTCCCTTTTTTAGACATGTTTCATGGTTTTCTAAGTAATAGTGGTACATGTGTACTGAGAAAAACTTGGGATTGTTTTACTCTAGACAACATTCTGTGGTGCATTGCAGCCTAGTTTCTTTTTTTAGGATACTAAAAAAAGGCAATGGTTTTGCCATGACTAGAATTTTGATGTGTTGCACTAGTGTCACAGAATTTAAATGTAATGATTCTTCTATATCTTTCAAAATAAATCTAGACCCTACTGTAAACTAAATATGCACAGCTCTATGAATTTCCATGAAACCAGACCATTGTGCCCTTGCCCCTCCCCCACTAAAGCCCTGGCCACCAGTCACAGTGATCTTACTGGGTCTGAAAATTAGCCAGAGCTCAAAGTGACCTTCATCACCAGACAGCACGTAGACAGGGCCGAAGGACAGCAGCCTAAGTTCTGTATTTATTGCTCTTCTAATATATGAAGTGCTTTTCAAATGAAGAATTACCGGCGATGCAATGGCAGACTGATAGGACATGACATGTGTGGCTCTATGGGAAAAACACATGTGCACACATACAGGAGAAAAGAAAATTTGTAAAGCTTTTACTGTAGCTATGTGCCGGTCAATTTCAGCTTCATCTTCATTGACGTTCTACACTGGTTTGAGTCATCCTGCTGCATTTTTTTCTCATACTCTAAAAGCATTTGAAGCTGCAAGGAACTGTATTCAATGAGCTCTCTTTTGTTTATTGCTGTCCTTCATGCTAAATGTTTTAGTGATTTTTAGTCAAGGTTGTTGGATTTTATTTAACATACATGATCTAGGGCTGAAACAATTAATCAGATTAACCGTGATTAATCGATTATTGAAATAAACAACAACTAATTTAGTAATCGATTAATCCTTAACTGGAGTATAGAAAATATAAAACATGCCTTTAGCTGGCAGAGCAACCTGCTTAGAGTAGTAAATATACCAAAACTGTAAAAAAAAAATATGTTAATATTTGGATTTAATTTAATTTAACAAACCTTTGGCGATCTGATTATTTATGGATTACTTGAAAAAATAATCGAACAGATTAATTGATTTGCAAAATAATTGTTAGTTGCAGCCCTATATACTACAAAGTGAACAGCAATACTCTTACTCATTATCAAAGTGTTTTAAGAGAAACACAGTGTTTTGTTCAATAAGAATGAGAAAAGGGTCTATTCCCTTTTCAAATATTGTTCTCATGTTAATCCCGCTAATTAAATGAGGATGTTTATATAGTCCTTTGTGTTTCCTATGTCTAAATATATGAAAAAATAAAAATTTGTATGACATCTTAAATTGCTGGCTTTCACCTTGTGGTCCTCTATTTTCGCCTCTGAAAATTAGTTTGAATAAATGCTAAGGGATTGCAATGACCCACTGCCCTCTGCTGGTTAACACCATAAACCTGTTTATTACCTGTAAGATGAACTCACAGTATAATATACTTGCTATTTAGTATGTAACTTCCTGCCAATAAGTAATATTTTCTTTTTTAAGATTTTCTGTTTAACACCAGATGAGTCTTTCAATGACCACTGTAGTCTCAAAAGCTTATCATCCCAATGAATTAAAAATTCCCATGACTATAAATATTTTGGTCATGTGTAATAAATTTTTTGACTGATGCCTACAGAAAAGTTTCTTATTAAATGTTAACGTATGGTCAAAAAATGATCCCACAAAAGTTTAGAAAAGTGATCAATGAATAGCACTATCAAAAAAAAGGAGCACAAAACAGGAGTTTTCACATCTACAACCTTGACCTAATTGAACACAAGTGGATATCTATCTATCCTGGAAGCTGCCCTGGTTTGGAGGTAGGACTTCTGGAGAGACCCCAAATTAAATGTGGAACTTAATACTAAGAAGCTGTTAAAATGTCCTTAATTCTTTCTTTGTATACAGTAATTCTATCTAAGGATTCTTCATAGAGGTTGAGGTGAAAAAAACCCACTCCGATTTAAGAAAAAAAAATTCTGATACAGACAAGGGGCTTATTGAATGCTGCTTAAAAGTTACTCAAAGAAAAAAAAAATATATTTTTTTAACCAAAAGTGCTTTTAATATTACAAATAGGCATCATCATTATGCATATTCCAAATTACAATGATAAACCCGTACAGTATTCTTTCCTCACCTAATTTTTTTTTTCTGGTTTTATTCTCATCTAAAAAAAACATAACTCATATTATAGTTAATCGTTCTACTTGCAGTAGATATGGAGAAGTTTAGAAAGGTATCCATTTACATGCAGCAATTCACTGACATTACAATAAGAGCTTAAACCTCTCCTACCTAAATGAAAAGAGTGACTAAGTGAAACAAGTGTATGTGCTGTGTTACTTTTTTTACTCTAGGGAAGCAGGAGGAAATTGTGCTTAGATTAGAGAGTCCATAGGAAAAAAATTATTTATTAAATTTTTTTTTTGATGATATTTTGTTTTATATTTTCCTAACTTTATGTTAATGAAGTGTGGTTCTGGGTTCGATTTGCGGTCCAGGTCTTGTCGGGGTTCTCTCCGGGTACTCTGGCTTCTTCCCACTGTCGAAAAATATGATTGCTAGCTTAATTGGCTTCTCTCAATTGTCCTTAGTTGTGAGCGTCCTTAGTTGTGAGCGTGCGTGTGCATTGTTGTGCATGTCTTGCTCATAGACTGCTGGAGATAGGCTCAACTGCGACCCTAACATTCTGAAAAGAAACACTTCATTCATTGTAATGTTTCATCGCTGCAGGCCTGTAAAACTAATGACTTTCCAATTCTAGACCACATATAGAGTGCCTTGTACTGATTAAAATAAACATTTAATGTGTTTAAATATTTCTTCCAGAGTTTATTTTGCCCTCATTGCCTTATATTAAAAATATGTCTGTCCCAACATGAAACAATTGAATGATGGTTATGTCACTCTTATGCTAAGTATATATTTTTACTCTTGCACCATTTATGAAGAAATATCCAGTTTTTGTTTTATTCGGATTGTATATCAATACCATATACAGTATAACTATTCTCTCACAGTTTTCTTTTCTGTCCTACTTATCACGATATGGTTGCATTCTATTTGTCGGATGATGAAAGTAATGAGGAGCAAGCTGTGCAGTATACTCTGAATGCGTTGAGTAGTGCTCACTATAGCTTTGCCTTGTGTTCAGGCTGCAGTTATTGACTCCTGCTTTCCTGCTTCAGCTCACTCTCTGGATCTCTGTGGACTGCAGAACCAAATGACAAATTACCTCAATACAAACGCTTACACACAGCTCAGGTACCAACAAGCCACTTATCTTCCTGTAGAACCCATAACAGCACCCTTTGTTTATCTCAGCTTCAGCCTGTTCAACTGCAGTAAATTAAATGTGCTTTCAGTGTTATCCTAGGACCCCAACTGTCTTATTAAAAAGGAGAGCATACAGATGAAAAAAAAAAAAAAACGAATCAAAACGTTTTCTAACTACATCCTTTTTTGCAAATGTAAAGAAACTTGCTGAGAACCACAGTGTTAGTTCTGGCTTGTTATATGGTGTGCCTTTTATAACTGTAACAATAGAAACTCCTGATGTACAGACAGATTCACCAGTGTTTCTCCTTCAGTCTCTGTCCAGTCTTTTGAGCAGTTTTGAAAAGTATCCATGTGGGTTTCTGTCCAAATGGAAGATTTTAAGTTTGAGTTACTCTTAAGTTGTCTGAAGCATAAAGAAAAGAGTGGAAAATGATTGCAATTCCAGACTTAATCAGAATTAAATAAAAAAACGTTTTTACAATGTTTATATTAAGATAATTTAAGATAATGACTTTACCCTTTTGCTTCTAACACCGAAACTTTTTTTTTGTCAGACTTGAAGACAGTTTGTTACAACATCCTGCATATGTTTTTTTTTTTTTTTTTTTTTTTTTTAAGTTCTTTATCATAAAGGTTTGTTATCAAAACTGAATGTTCACTGCTGATTTAATTTTGACAATAAAATAAAGAAAAAATAGTCTGGAAAAGTAAGATTACATTTTATTATCAATTTCTGCAGCCATTGTGTCTAATACTGATGGTATTGTATACTTCAGTACAAGCCTTAATGGATCCATTAATATGATTTAATCAAAGAACACCTTATATTCCTTGAACCCTACTTGATTTCACCTAAAGCCAAGTGCCTGCTCTGGTCATTTTTACAGTTGTTTATTCCACCTGCCCCACCAGCTGTATGAATCATTTATACAGAAGTTGTCATCTGCCAGCCAGTAGCCAAACCCATCAGCTCACCACCTACACAGACATTCACATGAACCCAGCGGTTTTGACAATGAAGCAGTGGTGCTGCAGCAGGGATTATGACTGAAAAAAGAGATTTGTGAATGTGTCAGATGCAGTGGAGACTGTTCCTTCTCTAATATGTAACATCCCTTATGCTGCAGTTCATATAATCCTTACCTCTTTCTTCCATCTCTTCTTCTTTTCTTCAGAAATTGAGATCTCCATCTTTTTGCCTGGTCTTGCCAGCTGCTATCTAGCTACAGCATGGCAGACAGTCGACAGCCAGACGATGGTTCCCCACAATGGGAACCATCAGGGGGGCAAGAACCAAATGTTACACATGGAGCAAACAGCTACTCTTCAACAGCCTACAGGACCTGCCAGAGTGGCGGGACTCACATGACCACAGCTCCTTACACTGCAAGAGAGAATGGATTTAATGGAGAGCTTGCTGGGGCTCCTGCTATAACCGCAGGTAATGTGTTCTAAAATTATCCATATTTACATTTACGTCTTGAACTTTTTCATTATTTCACATTACAACCACATTCTTCAGCTTATGTGACAAATCAGGACAAATTATCAACTGGACTGGAAATAAATCATGTCTTTGATTTATTTGCAGAACCACATTTCACTTTTATAAGAGCTCCAAGACCTTGGGTAGTGTTGCTGCAACATTTGCATATGAAGAGGCTTACAATATTGCCCATTCACCTTTGCAAATTAGGTTAAGCTGAATCAAATTTAATGAAAAGTGTTGTGACAAAATTATTTTTAAAAGTCTCACCACATATTCTTGATTACATTTAGCACTACCGCAAGTATTCAAACATATTATATGTACTGCTTTAAACTATCCCATTCAAACCTGGCTGTGTGTTTAGAATTACCATGCCGAAAGGTAAATGTCTGCTTTAATATGTCTTTTGTAGACTCTAACATATTTTATTTCAAGATTACCATTTATTTAACTCTATCCATCTTCCTATAAACTCTGATAAGCTTCTCTGTTCTCAATTTAGAAAATTATTAGATTTATGGGGGATATTACTTTCGCCAAGCAATGTGTATGTGACTATCTAGTAATGGTCTAACCTTTGTTTATCTCTGTTTATCTGCTTACTTTCAACCTTGCTTCAAATAAACAAATGGTTGGTGTGAATTGGTGGCGCAGTGGTTAGCGTGCACGACCCATGTATGGAGGCCTTAGTCCTCGACGCGGCTGAACCTGGGTTCGAATTCGACCTTTGGTGTTTTGCCGCATGTCTCTCCCCCTCTCTACCCCCTTTCTTGTCAGCCTACTTTCCAAAAAAAAAAACAGCCACTAGTGCTGTAAAGACTCAAACAACAAATGGATTTGAAAGGATTGGAGGGCACATTGTATAAACTGTCAGATTTACATTAAAAAGTTTTAGATTTTAGATATACTGTAGCAGTTTTATATTGAACTGCTATATCTATATATACTGCTTTTGTCATTCTGATAGTCATGCAAAAGTTTTCCCAGACAGAGAGGGAATAAACAGTTGAGCAGACAAGGTCTGGGTCAGTTTTCATCTCAAAGGGATTCTTGTGAACATGTACACTTAGTTACAGTAAAATCTGAGCCCATGGCTATGTCTAAGCCAGTCTAAGTCAATAGCTGCATTACAATAGTGATAGCTTAGAATAACCTGAGGCACTCTTACCATAAGCTTTGTCAAACAGGAAGTTATTAAGCCTGGTCTTAAAAGTATACAGGTATCAAAAATATTTAATGTATTTGAAATCTATATAGAATTAGGAGGCCTCCAATATACAGAGGAGGCAAGGGCTGGTTATACTCCCTGCAGCAGTGTGTCACAGTGAGCATGATGCAGACATTTTTGATTTATGCCCAATATTGAAGCGTGGTTTGGGCTATGTTATTCCACGCCACAATGCAAGAGGGACAATCAGGAACTAGCTGTGGGTCTAGATAGGGCCGAGGCGGTGAGGAAGTGGGGACAAGTTTGTCTGACAACGGAGGGACATGAGGGTGGAAAAAGAGCGGGGATCTAGGTGGAAAAAGGGTCCCAGCGTTCTCTCGCACCTTGCTCTTCTAGCTGGTCCAACTTCATGAGTTGATTTCCACAATTGTGGTCATACAAACAAAACAAGCGGATGTAGATTTGACCAATGAGAGGCCTTCTGTCTGTGGCACTGTCTGCGCTCACCTACAATTTGGGAGAGGTGCAGCAGTGTGTCTGCGGAGGAAGTGGGGACGTCCTTTTGTTCACTGCGACACCTATGCAGACGACATAGTTTCGAAGTATAAATCAGCCTTTAGTCCTCGAGGCAGAGGTCCTGGGTATAATCCCTGACCTTTGCTGCATGTATTTCCTCCTTTTCTATCTGCCTACTATCTGTCTTGTGACAGCAAATTAAGCTCAGCAGTGCAGAGGAAAATTATCTAAATTCTATTGAAACAAAAGCAATTAAAAATGAAAGCTAAAAAATGACAGATGATATCAATTTATTTTAACATTATTGTACAGTACCCTGGTTTCTTTTAACAGAAACACCAAGCCAGCAGTTTTCATCACTGCTATGTTTGAAAAGGTTCCAGGTTACAAAACTTAAGAATCAGGACAGTTTTAATCATGCAAGAATCACTTTAGTGAGATCAAATGTATTTTCTGTTAATATGACAACTCTATTTTTAATTAATTAATTTAATTAATTTTGATTTAATACTTTGACTTCTCTGATTTCACTTTTAGAAAAGGATGAGTTATGGTTAACTTAAGTCGTTTTTGTGGTAGCACAATGTACATTTGTATATGAGGAAAAACATCAACTGATTTTTGAATTTAAAGAGAATTAATTTCCCCTTTGGGGTTGGAAAAATATTTTTAAATAGAATAACCTTAAATAAACTGATAATGTGCAGGTTCTCTAAAGTTGTATGTTGTATCACCATGTGACCTTTTCATGCTGATACTTTTAAGGTTGTCTGCATAGAGTGGGTTTGCTGCACTCACTAGGATAGCATACTGTTATTAACAACACTGTAATTAACACATAAAGCATTTCTTTGTTGTAGCCAAACCCTTTCCCCTCTCATACTCAGAGGACCAGATTGGGAAACAGTGGTGCTAGTAGTGTAACTATGGCAACAGTTTCCCTACAATTTGACTGAGCCTTTGTTCTTTTTGACTGTAGCTTGCCACAGACAAAAGAATTTAGCAAGCAATGCGGTAGAGCTAATTTAGAAGCCCATTTTTCCATTGTTGGGTTTTCATATATCATTTTTATTTTTAATGATGATTCATAATGGGGAGTTTTCTTCTGAGTGTAAATACTGATAATGTCTTTGTATTCAGAATGCAAACCTTCCTAGTATAAATTAGGAAGAAATTACAAGCTGTGCATTTTATGGTTGAAGAAATTATGTTTGCTGCTAAGAGCATTTCATTTTGCTGAGTTTCCATTGGGTTTGTTTTGTAATTGAAACAAGGAAGATAAATATAGTATAGCTGATATCAAAGGATATGTCAGTGTTAACACATTATTTAATTTAAATAGGTATGTTGTAGGTCCTTATTATGAGCTTCATCTAAAGGTCTTCAGCAGTCAAGCTGTTGGTCTTTATAATGTTTTTCATTGACTAATATCCTCTAAATTAACACTAAGTCTTGAAAAACGATATAGTATGATATTAAATTGTGCACAAATGCGTTATATTTGATCATTAGGTAGCTTCTGAGGAAAGTAGCTCTTATTTTTGAGCATATGTGTAAAGGTTAAAGGGGAATGTCTGAATACTTTCTATGGTTTTTCTTTTGCTTTTCAGGTGTGCAACATTTTGTGTTGGTCTATTGCAAAAAAAATATAAGTAAAATTCATAGACGTTCACGGTTGTAGCTTGAGAAGATGTGGAAAAGACTGAAGGGTATGATTATCTTTTCAAGGCGCTGTAAATGACTCCTTCAGAACTACGTAGTTATTTGCGGAAACAACACAAGCTCCTCTTTTACATAGAGTTACTTGTAATCATAGATTTAATCTGTTTATCAACATCATGTGAGTAGTATTTAAACAGCCTTCAGCAGCTGCATGTAAAGCTGTTTGTCTGCTTTGCATCTTATCACATTTCGTTAACATCTCCTCAGAGTAGGGCAGAGTATAGGCTGAGTGGGACAGAGTGGGTTACAGCACGGCTGATGTTGGTTCTCACTCGGCCTTCTCCCCCTGTGAAAAGCTCTTCAGTCACTGTAAGAACCAGTGAAGCACAAAATTGTCCTCTTGACTTTCCTTTGAAAGAAAGTTGGAAAAAGTCAGTCAGCTATGTTATTAGTGTCCAGGGAAAGAGAGAGTGAAGGGATGAGAAAAGAAAACAATAATTTAATGTACTGCTAAATAGGGTCTGGTGTAGGTGAATTTGGGAGTATGAGGAACTTTGATTTGCTCATAAAAAGATTTTCTGCATATCTTGTCCCTGCAATCTGTCTATTGTTTGACAATATATAAGACTATGCAGACATATAATACAGTAACAAATAAACTTAGAACTTAGATGGTAATCACAAATTGTCCCTGAGGGACTTTGACAGTAAAAATTGAATCTAGCTTATACAGATGTGTAGAAATATATGGATTTGATCAGCCTGAACATTCCTGACCATTGTAGGTTAAATGGTTATATAGGAATTGGCATTTCAAAGCTTCACAAAAAACATCATCCACACACTTATTGGTACATTCCTACTTGTTATTGTTACTGTTCTTCTCATTTATTTGGTAGTAATGTCAGTGGATATACTACAGTAAAAAGACAAAACAAACTACAGTATTTCAGAGCACAGATGGAAATAACATTAAAGACCCATGTACATTGATTGCTGACTCTAATGACAAAAAAACAGACTGGTAACCCTCACTGGAAGACTCTTGGAGCAAAGCCAAAGAACAAACAATCAAACACAGATCTGAAGACACATGACAGGCTGAATGCCACATCTAAATGACAAAACCTGGCCAAGACTCCAGAGAATCATGTTTTCTACTCCAAGTATCAACAGGTGCAAAAAGCAGTTTAGTCCCAAAACAAAGAATAAGGAAGGATCCAATGAGATTACTGAAAATATTGGGATCTCTGCTAAAAACAGGATTTAAGCCTTACAGGATGACCTTGAAGGGAACAGACTGTTTCCAGACAACAGAAAAACATACGGCAAAATTAAGCTCTCTCAAAAACAGCCTCATAAAAAACAGCTGCTAAGCCAAGAACAGTAATAGCAACTGATAGTAACTAAACATACAACAAGAAAAATACAACAGTGAATTTTGGCTGTTGCATGCTGTCTGAAATCTCAAAGAGGATCATACAGAAAAGAGAATTACATCCAACCTTGAAGAACTTAGTCATTCAAATTGGATGAATGAACAATGTTGCTAAGATGAAGTCAGAAATATTGAAGGAAGACATGATTTGTCTTCTCAACGCTTCAGAACAGACAAAAAAAACCTACTTTTTAATAATTTCAATTTACTTTATCTGTGAGACTTTGTGTTTAATGGATTTGCGTTAAACACAAATCCATTTAACTTTATTAAGAAAGTTTCACTTGATACTGTTTATCACTGGATTTTATTATAGCTCCTGAAAAACTCAGTCGGCCTTCCGTGTACCACACTCGACTGGCTTAAATCCTACCTGAAGGACACAGTTTTCTAGGTGCCATATGGAACTTTAAATCAGGAAAAAGAAAAAGCCCTTACACTGGCTCCCTTTAGCTCAGAGAATAGACTTTAAAATCCATCTGTCAGTCTATAAATTACTGAATGGATCAGGACCTAAATACATAACTGATTTGTTGTCAGTCTATCAACCCCCCATACCATGAACATGGAGTATTTAGTTCCAATGCTCCACTTATCTGGAAAAAACTTCCAAAAGACGGTAAAAGTTCTTCAAGCCTGAGTTCTTTTAGGTCAAAGTCAAAAATTCATTTTTTTTTTTAGAACTGCCTTTGATGGTTGAAGTTAAACTGTTAATTGAGGTATTATTAGTTTAAGCTTGTGGTCCAACTGCTTTATTTGTTTTACTACCTGTTTTAATCCTTTTTAATCTTTATTTGCTTTTACTCTGCTTTTATTTTTCTTCCAATTTATTGTTTAATTTATGCAATTAACTCAATTGTCCTTGTACTGAATTGTATAGCAACTACATTTTTATACAAATTAACATACCTTGCCTTGCCGTTTACTGTACACAGTATAGAAAATACCAGAAAAAAACAGTTCAATGAAACAAACAGACACAATATAATGACAATTTTTTTTTGTCAACATACTGTGTATCAGTTGAGAGGAATGCAATATATATCAACCATTTTATATTTTTTTCCTCAAACAATTATACAATTTTGATTATGTATTTAATCACAATTTTAAAATAATGCTCAATTTCTCAACATTAAAGACTTTTCTTGCACTTTTCATCACTTGATGGACAGGAATGTCACTTCAAAAAAGTCCCTTTTAATGGCATAAATTACACCCTAACCCTATAGGGAGTTTAACAGTTTTTATTTATTTATTTTCTGGATCTCTCACACCAACAAGATGCAGCCATCCATCCATTATCTTACACGCTTGTCCCAGTTGGGGTTGCGAGGGGTGCTGGTGCCTATCTCCAGCTGTCAATGGGCGAGAGGCGGGGTACACCCTGGACAGGTCGCCAGTCCATCGCAGAAGATGCAGCCAGTTTACTTTATTATTATTATTATTATTATTTTTTTTTTTAATGAAAACAGTTGGGGATACCTGTCTGACACATTTGATTGATTCTGGTATAATGTATCAGTACCTTTAGAACTGTAATGTGAAACTGTCTTAAAGATATGAGCGTTTTGAACAAAATCTTTGCAGATGTTTAATGAGCTACAAAGCTTTTAAAGTAATAGATCTGTTTGGTCAACGGTTGACATATCCTGTGACACTTTTATCTGATTTACAGAGGGACCTAAGCCAGTGGCTTGCAATCCTGTTGCCACGGAAACTATTTGCCTTTTAAATTTTGGTTGCCTGCCACTATCACATCCAAGATCACTCAGGTTCTCTCTGTGACCTTGCAGTCTATGTTTTATGTGCTGATTGTTGACTCCAGGGATGGTTCCTAAGCCATCCAGCATTTCTGGTTCCGTTGATTAGCATCGCAATAGGAGCAAAGTAATTCATATGATTTCAGTCAAAATGGAAGCCTTTGGAGTCTTTTTTTTTTTTTTTTAGAAAAAAATAAACTGGCCAGTGTTTGATAGGTAAGGTGCTGTCATTTAACATAAGTTGTAAAACTGCTGAGGCAGCAGTTCCAGAAGTTATGTTCTTGACAACAGACTGTTTATTATCAAGCTTTCAATTATTACTGAACCAGAACAACGAAATCAAAATCAATAACTTTTTTATTAACATAATGGATATTCAAATGAGTTATGGCTGTCAGCTGCACTTTAGATTATATGTGTAATTTTTCATGAGAAATTAGGCTGAAAAATTTAACAAAGTTTTCTACTCTTCAGTCTGGTATAGAGCTAAAGATCTAGGTGTACACACATTGCTTTATAAGCTGCAGGCCAAAAACACTGGAACATCTAGTTTGTTTTAAGGATATGTTTTCTTTTTCTTTCCATACAGTGAAAAAACAAATCTAAAAAAAAACTTTACACAAGTCTAATTTTAATATTTTTATTTGACAAATAACTATATATATATATATATATATATATATATATATATATATATATATATATATATATATATATATAGTTATAAAAAGTAATAATTATTGCCTAATATATAAACACTGAAAGATAGAGCCCATGCAATTTTGCTGCTGTTAAAAATGCAGCACTGCTTTGAGTTAGTGAGTGGGCAGCACTAAATGCTCCCGGAAGAACTGCGTGAATGTGTATATGTAGGAGTGTCTATGGCTGCCAGATTATGTGGTGTGTGGGTGATGCTGAATAGAAAAAGATTCTGAAACAGCAGCATTTCACTGATTTACCCAGCACTCAGTCCTATAACCGCTGCAAACCAAGGAGCTGATTGGGTGCTGCATGCTGAGGGGCTTTATTTAACCTGAAGATATAAATGTAAATCCAAATAGTCTTTGACTTGTATGGTAAACAGTCTCAGCCTAAATACATAGAGAAATGTTTATTTACCTTTTTTTTTTTTCTTGTAAACAAAAAAGAAAAAACGCCATGCAAAAAGCCAAATGAGTTTTGTCTGGCATGTTACATATACAATGTAATTTCCCCAAATGTACTTTAATAAAACTACAATGGTCAATGAGTATAAGATTATAGATTTACATATTTTTGTATAATTTAATGTAATTGTGGCTATTCATGAGCCCATTGTATTTGTTCTATAACAATACTCTAAAGGGAAATGTCCTCTCTTCAATTTTTATCAACAGCAGAGTAATGGAACAGAGCAATGATCTGAAGCTTACAACCTCTGAATGTTACATTATTTTTTTTTTTAATCAAAGTTTTATAGGGGTCAGGTACAAATCTGCTCTTACATTTGACTGGGTTGGCTTCACAAGACTCAGTGTGTAAATTGGACATTTTTACAACCCTGATATCTTTGTGCTAAAACTAAATATGTAAAAACAGAGCTGGATGAAATTCCTTCCCAATAAAGGACTTGCTGCAGTTACTGAGTTGCAATACCATTTTCACATTTGTCTGGGATGTAAGAGATAACCTTTTACTCCTAAAAGGGACCCTAACCCTTATCTATCCTAACCCTTATCCGTCTATAATCAGAGCAAGTTTCGGCACGGATTGTTCAAGAAGTAACGGCAGAGGCAGTGGCGGTGCTAAAGGGAGAACAGGAGACTCAGCGGCTGCCATCCGGTAATACGCAAATTCCAACACTGGCACGAATACTGCACACAAACACCAATGATAAATACATCTTTAGCCCATTTGCCACACAGAACTGGAATGCCAGCAGGCAGTAAGGGTCAGGGCACACTACCGGCAACTGCCGGTATTCACAGTCTTATTCACAGTCTTATTATGGCAGATTTAAATTAACAGTTCTCATCCTTGATATTCAAAAGAACTTTTACAGTGATGATGTCAGACCAACCTTTGGATCTATCTTTCTAGCAATAAGTATAAAATGATCGTTATCCTACTCTTTCTACAAACAGTTACACATGCTATCACACAGCATGTTAACATAATACATTGAAGTTTGTGCCTGTGTTATACCCAAATGAATTGAAAATTCAGAACGAATGAACAGAACTTCATACATTATTAGAAAACGTTTTTTTTTTTTACAAAGCCTAACTCCAGTAGGAAGAAACTGTGATAAAATGTGTGTTGTTCAACAGATTGAAGCAAACTGATTTCACCTTTCCTCAGTTTTATTTCCTACATTAATATAAATGAGCTTATTAAACACAGTGACTTCATTGGATTTATATCCCTGTATGCTTGCCTCGTTTCTCAATATGCCTCTTTGCAGTTGAGGATACCACCAATTTGCCTCCCTCCCCTCCCCCTTCACCTGCAGCTGAACACTTTGGTCCCTTGGAACAAGGTAGGCCAAGAATAACTTAAAATAAGGTCTTTCGTCTTTCTTTTAACTGTACTTTTTGGGGTGATGTATAGTACCCCATTACCTAAAAAATTCTCTCCAGCCTTCACTGGGACAAACAGCACTGTAATGTTTGTTAAGTGAACCAAACCTGAGCTGTGAAAATTTCAGGCATGTTCTTCTTTCTCCTGTCATGCATTTCCTGTAACTTTCTGGAACATCTCCTCCATCATATGCCTGGAAATCTGTCATTGCCAGTATCTTCATTTTATCATCATTTGTCCCAAATGAATAAATGAGACATTTAACAACATGGACGTTGTGTTGTTGCACTTATAGTATTTTTTTTTACCATCCTCTTTAAACGAATAATTTCTTAAGCTCCTCCCACACACTAAAATCAACCATTTAAAGTTATCCTCCAGCTTCCAATTATTAGAATGCTTAGAATTTGCATGTTTCTGGTCATTGTGCTTTCTGCTCCTTGTCTCTTGTCTGATTTTTCTTTTCTGTGTTTTTGGCTGAAGCTTTGAGTCAGAGACTAGTTCTTTAATAAACGAAAACAGTGATCTTAAATCCAAATACTACAAGGTTATACTTGAACGTAAGCTTTAAAAGAATGACAACTATTAAAACGTTTTTAGATAACTTCTGATGATGGAAGTCTAAAACGTTTTTTTTTTTTTTTTAGGTAACTACATTTTTGTTAAATATAATATGAAGCATTAAAATGTGTTTCTTTCTCTGTCCAGTTTGTTACATAGACCGCTAACAGTTTTGTAATGTTTCTGTGACGGTGAAAAAAAAGGTTTTGCTGAAGTTTGAACATTAACTGAGAAATGTTTCAATAATTAAAATTATCTAACTTAAAACTACTGATATCTAAAAGTAGAAGTTATACTTTAATACAGATGTAACTAAAATGTTAGAAAATAGTGAAATTTTTGAATAAAGGAATCAAACCAATTTTGTAAAAAAAAAAAAAAAAAAAAAAAAAAAAAAAAAAA